GTTTTATAGATGTTTTCATTATTGGGGCATTCTTTCTTGTTAGTAAAATTATCAGAAATAGATTGATCGTTCTTTTTTCTTTTGTTACAATCCCTTATCCTTTCCTTTCTCTTAAATCTTGTAATTTAAATGCGTTATTGACCCAGAACACATTATCTTTCTTTCTAGTGTTCCTTTGAAAACTTTTTTCCTCTGCAAATGTAAAAGGACAAAATGATCTCACTCTAATAAAAGTTGCTCTCTGTTTTCAATATGTTCTGATTTTTTAATATGTTCTGTGATTTATAATTTCTATAATGTAATTTTCCTTTACATAATTTTATACATAATGAAGAATAGCTTATAATTGATAAAAACTGGGATTAAAATCTAGCATAAAAAAAATTTTTTAGGCAATAATAAATCACTGATTTTATAATATATTTTAGATAGATGCATTTTTTTAAAGTTTATTTTGAGAAACTTAAGTGCTGCTTAAATTATGCAGTTTTGACTAAGAAAAGTTTCCTCAATAATATGTTGTATAATGAATGAATACTTACATTTGGGTCCTTAGATGATTATTAATCATTAGTAGGTCATTTCATTATAGGACTTATTTACTTTGAAATATGTTTGGCAACACAATATTCATTGTGATATGATAGATTGACTTAAAGTATCTATCACATAGTTCCTATCTGTTCAGAAATTTTCTACTTAATATGGTTTAACCTATGTGAACATTGTATTAGTGATGACTGTAGTGTAGTACATTTTTTTAGGCCTGTGAATTTAAAAGTGAAATTTAAGCATAGCATTCTTGTTAAAATTGTAAGTTAATACAAATTCATATGGTAAGGAAGTTGATTACATTCTATAATTTCAGTTTGTATTTGGAACTATAGATAAGAGTTTGATTTTTTTTAATTCAGTTATTTTAACTTGGTATCTTTAATAAGTTGTCTCATTTATCCATGTTGATAGTGAAAAATATCATTAATACCAACAGGCAGCTCACCTAATGGATTTTCTGAAAAATTCTACCTCATTGTAATAGAGTGTACACAAGACAACCGTTCATTGTTACACATGTGGAATTTACATTTAAAGTCCATTCCTGTCTCATTGGGTGAGTCCCTTTTTTTTTTCTAACTTCAGGTTTAAATTAACAAATTATACATGATTAGACAGTTCAATGCATAATTTTAAAGCTATTTTTATTAAGTGATCATAATGTAGTTTATTCAGTTAATTAAAAAAGCAAAATAATCTGAGTTTCTTGTTATAAGGAATCATATTAACATGTTTACTTTTTATCTTTTATAAGGTAATTTTGGATTATGAAAAGTAGCAATTGTCATGTTTATAGGGCTTCCCCCTATTCTTTCTGGTTTTTGGTTCTTATGTTTTATAGATGAAAAAGTAGATACAAAAATATCTGAAGCAGTTTGGCAGCCAGAAGAACATTCTTCTTCTCCAGAGAAGATCTTGTCTCCTTTTTCACAGAAGTATCAGGCTTGCAGAGCAAATCTCCAGAGCACCAGCAAGTTGACTCTATCTTCAGAAATGGTTTATAGCCAAGAGTTACATTTGCCCGAAGGAGTTGAGATAATAAGTGTTAAGCCATCAGCAGGTTTGTAAACTAATCAAACTTTGTAATCCATGAGTGTTCACTTAGGTATTTAAAAATAGGTGCAACTACTTCTTTTTAAATCCACACAGAAGCAGAAATGGAAAAAATGCTTTTAAGTACCATAAACTGAAAACTTACACAGTTTCCAGATTACTCTGTCATTTGTCAGCCAGTTATAGTCGTAAATATTATTTCTGAAACAAATTTTTGTTATCCTTTTGTGAAGACAAAGTGAGAGTTTCTAGGACAGAGATAGTAACGTGGTTGCACCTTATTTGCCAACTTTGATAATATTGGTAGTGCTGCCAGGAGCATGTGCTGCAAAGGATTCTGAGTTGTGGTCCCTAATATATATATATATATATATATTTATCATCTTGATCTTAGGGCATTGGTTCTCAAAATGTGGTCCCAGCATCAGCATTACCTGGAAATTGGTTGTAAATAAAAATTCTTGGGCTACGCCCTGGACTTACCAAATCACAAAGTCTGGGGTCTATTTTAACAAGCCTTCTTGCTGATTCTAACGCACAGAAAAGATAAAGAACCACTGTTCTAGGTTATCAAGAAAGCCGAGACAAAATCCATCTTATTATCACTTAGTTCTTTTTTGTTTTCATAGTCAAAGTGTGGGTTTTGGTTTTTTCTACTTTCATTTTTGTAACAGTTTACTTTGAATGCTTTTCAGTTTGCCATGTTATCTCAGGTTATTCTTTTCTAAGTGGTGAAGTTAGCAGGTGTGAGTGTATTAACAGTGTTCTGATAACATTTGTATTCTGCTTGTTTATTTTAATAAAAGAGGCATCAGTGAAAGGAAAGTTAAAGTTTCAAAAAGAATGACTTTTGCATTGACAAACTTTTTACAAGCTGTTGTCTTTAGCCAGAACAGTATGATCTTCACTACTGAATTTCAATTAAAATAATATGGCAAATGTAAGAGAAACTGAAGATATTTCTCAAAACAATCCTCTTATTTATACTTTGGCCCAAGTTGAGTTTGGAAGCAGAAAACAAGTTCTAGGGAAAAAGAAATTTGTTTTGTTTGGCAAAACAGTAGTATATGGTACAATAGTCCCCCTTTATCCTCGGAGGATAAGTTCCAAGTCCCCCAGTGGATGCTTGAAACCGAGGATAGTACCAAACCCTATATATACTATGTTTTTTTCCTATAAGTAAACACTTTTTCATTTAAAAGAAGCACTTCATGGCACTTCTTTAGCATATTTGAATTGCCAGCGTCACTGCCCCAGCTCAGAAAAACCAATGGACAGTGCTAATTGGGCCCTTTTGCAGTACTGCTGTAGTCCTTAAGGACTAAAAAACCCTATTGCAGATATGTTGAAATATGCTTTTAAAATATGATCAATGTTCTATATAACACTTTTTATAATTAGTAGTTTATGTTGGATAGCTTAGGACAGAGGTTGGCAAACTGTGGGCACCTACCTGTTTAAATAAGTTTGAATGGGGGCCGGCCGAGTGGCTCAGGTGATGAAGAGCTCGCTCAAGAGTGCAAGCTCTGAGCAACAGGGTCGCTGGTTCGATTCCCGGCCTGAGCTGAGCTGCTGCTGAGCTGCCAACAGGTGGCAGGATGGCTCAGCTAAAATAAATAAATAAATAAATAAGTTTGAATGGAACATAGCCACATCTATTTGTTTACTGTTGTGCATGGCTACTTTTGCTCTACAGTGGCAGAGTTGAGTAGTTGCAAAGGAGACCCTATAGCTAGCAAAGCCTAAAATAGTTATTACTATCTGGCTCTTAAAAACAAATTTGATGGCTCCTGGTTTAAGGAAATTAAGAGTGTATAATTACATTAAGCCCAAGAAAGCATTATGCCCACTAGTTCAGCATCAGTTATATCAAATACTCCTCAATCATTGAGGACCCATTAAGTACTTAGGTAAGCATGGCCCATTCACAAAGTTGTATTGAAAAATATAAAAGAGAAGGAACCGTGAATGTTGACAGATTTTTAAAATGTATGTAATCTTTAAAATGAGACTTACAATAATACATAAAATGAGCAGAGTTGTGAAAAGAATTTTGGGATGAGAACCAGGACTAGAATTCAGCTTTTCTAATTCTGTCTTAGGCTAGCTGTTTGATTTAGGCGTAAGATGCTTAACACATTTACCTATAAAATGCAACAATTGAAGTAAATTATCTCAGAATTCTCTTTCAGCTCTAGGTTTTGGTAATATTGTCCTTTTTATATACTTTTGTGATGTCATTAAAAGCTTATTGATCTTGTTGATCGTTAAACTAAATATAGTCTGTTAATGTTGTTAGCAGTAGTTCATACTGAAAAGTAAAACTTAGTACTTGAAAATAGAAATATTTAACCAAATTTGACATTTTGTTAATGGATTACTTTTATTTTAGGTCATCTGAGTTCTTCTTCCATATACCCCATATACAGTGCTCCCTATTTATTGGCAACTTCATGCTCAGATGAGAAAGTAAGATTCTGGAGATGCAGAGTAACAGATGGAGAATCTAACACATCCAAGGATGGAAAAATGGATCTTGTATACATTTGGGAAGAATGGCCATTGCTTATTGAAGATGGACTTCAGAGCAATAGTAGTATAACTGTACCTGGTAGGCCTGTAGAAGTTAGCTGTGCACACACAAATCGTTTAGCAGTAGCGTATAAGCGGCCCGCATCTAATAGTAGATCTTCTCAGGACTTTGTGATGCATGTAAGTATTTTTGAATGTGAGTCTACAGGAGGTTCATGTTGGGTCCTTGAACAGACAATTCATTTAGATGAGTTAAGTACAGTGTTGGATTCTGGCATTAGTATTGATAGCAATTTAGTGGCCTATAATAAACAAGAGGTCTATTTATCCAGTAAAGATAATATAACATCAAACATAAAGCATTTAGTTCACTTAGACTGGATGTCTAGGGAAGATGGTTCTCATATCTTGACTGTAGGAATTGGATCAAAACTTTTTATGTATGGACCCCTGGCTGGCAAGGTGCAAGAACAGACTGGTAAGGAAAGCCTGGCATTTCCTCTCTGGGAGAGTACTAAAGTTGTGCCTCTTTCTAAATTTGTACTGTTACGAAGTGTGGATTTGGTTTCTTCTGTAGAAGGCTTTCCACCTTTTCCTGTTTCTTTATCATGGGTCCGGGATGGCATCCTGGTGGTAGGAATGGATTGTGAAATGCACGTGTATTCCCAGTGGCAGCCATCTTCTAAACAAGAACCTGTTGTAACAGATTCATACAGTGGGAGCACTCCATCTATAATAAGTTTAGTAAAACAGAGTAACTCATCAAGTTCTGGATTACACCCTCCAAAGAGAACTCTGACTCGATCCATGACCAGCCTTGCACAGAAAATCTGTGGAAAGAAAACTGCTTTTGATCCGACTGTACATATGGAGGATTCAGGTCTTTTTGAAGCAGCTCATGTTCTTTCCCCAACTTTACCTCAGTACCACCCCTTGCAGCTTTTGGAACTCATGGATCTTGGCAAAGTTCGAAGAGCAAAGGCCATCTTGTCACATCTTGTCAAGTGCATTGCTGGAGAAGTTGTAGCTCTGAATGAAGCTGAACCCAATCATGAGCGTCGCCTTAGGTCTCTCACTATCAGTGCCAGTGGAAGCACCACCAGAGACCCCCAGGCGTTCAACAAGAGTGAAAACACAGATTATACAGAAATAGATTCTGTCCCTCCGCTTCCTTTATATGCCTTACTTGCAGCGGATGATGATAGCTATTACTCATCTTTAGAGAAATCTAGTAATCAGAGTACCTTAAATAACTCAAACCAGTTGTCAAAAGAAAGTTATGATGAGCTTTTTCAGAGTTCAAGTTTAATGACTGATAGTCATGTGTTAGAGACAGATGAAGAAAATACAAAGCCCAGGGTTATTGACCTTTCACAATACAGTCCAACTTACTTTGGTCCTGAGCATGCACAGGTTCTTTCTGGCCACTTACTTCATTCCAGTTTACCAGGACTCAGCAGGATGGAGCAGATGTCTTTGATGGCCTTAGCAGATACAATCGCAACTACCAGCACTGATATTGGAGAAAGCAGAGACAGAAGCCAAGGTAAAACTAAATTGGGTACAGGAGTGGCAGACAAACTGATGATATTTTTACTTATTTTCACAGAAAACCTAAAATAATTTTTATAAAAATGATGCTCATGAATCATTTTAATCATCATTGCTGACTTCATAGTAGTTTTAACTTGAATATATACTGTTTATCCCATAAATTGTACTACTTTGTCAAATTGTATAAAGATTCATTGTCAGCCATTTTAAATTTTTACCTAATTGCTTGATAATGTGAGATCCAAGTGTATCCTAAGAGTTTAGCAAAAGTTAACTTTCTTATTAAATAATTACTTTAGATGCCTGAAAATGCACCTTTTGCTTTATTTTTTCTCATGTTGTAATAAGTTACTATTTGGTTTTTAAAATATTGAGGTTTCTTTTAAAAAAAATAGCATTAATGTATACTCCCACCTAGAATAACAAAAATAAGCATAATAAAATTAGGTCTGTTCCTCACCCAGAGAGCTTTTTTTTTCTTCTTAATCTCCTGAGTTATGAACAAATTTGAGTGTAGAATTCTCGTCAAATCTCAGATAAGATCTGAAATTAATGAGTCCAGTCTTGTGTACCAAATATATTGGGTTGTCAGAAAAGTCATGATGCATGTTTGCGACAGATGGCAGTAGTTCATTTTTGGAAGTACTAGAGTCAT